ACAACAACAACAACAACAAAACCGCCATTTAATGAACTTAATTTTATACGTGCTGAAATGATGCCGGTGTTAATTTGATTTCGTTTTAAAAGGGACTGGTAGCAATAGCTGTAACTACAGTTATGTTATGCATGCAAGGTGAAGGGTCGATTTTCTTTGTATTGACCTTTAACAGCGTTTATGTTTTGTTTTTGTTATAGTTGTTGTTTTTCCACAAAGCAATGTTTGACCGCAGGCTCAAATGCAATAGGGACTATTTAGGTCTCAATTAAGGTGGTGTTTTATTCCCCTTTTCCTCTAAAACCCTTGATCCATCGGTCGCCAAAAATGGCAGCAAGCAAGTTAACAATACAAACTTTGGTTTTTTGATGGTTAAGCTGACGCAGTTGCCATGGCAACATAAATAAATATAAACAGGCCTTTTAAAGTCGGTTTTGTTTATTTGTAGAAAATCTAGTTATTAGATTTTCTTAATATAATTTGCATGCAACAAGCTTGTAACGATTCTTACAAGTTAACACCATTTTGCAAATAATTGAACAGAGATATCTTTAATGTGAAGAATATATGAAATATTTCATATTCGAACTGCGGTTGTAGATGAAAGTGAAGAATGATCATCGCAGTAAATTTTCCAATTTAAGCCATTGGAAGGAAGAAGCCTGAAATCGCAGTAAATTGGAAAATTTACTGCGATGATCATTCTTCACTTTCAGAGATATCTTTAGTTATCCATTGTTGAAGGGTCACTGGAATACCTAGAATTCCCTCTGTTAAAGTTCAGTTGTTTTTAATAATCCAATTAATTATTTCCTAAAGTATTTTCGTGCCAAATTTCTTGAAATTCTAATGAGTGGTTCTCGAGAAATAGGCGTATCTCCTAAAGTGCAATTTTCCATTCAATCGCAATTTTTTGACTTACTACTGGGTTCGTTCGGTAACAAAGAAACAGCTGAGAATTGCTGGGCTCTTTGTATAGTTACCTTTTCTGACATATTTTTGTAATAAAAGACTAAAACCATCAATACGCTGCGTTCAATTATAGAGAAAAATAGCACAGATAGTGCGGGTGTTGCAAACCTTGTGCACACGCTGAATTGCATCAGCAAAAGCGCGCGCGAAAACTGTGTTCGGCCACCTTGATTTCACAAAAAATATGTTAGAATAGGGGAAATTGCTAGGATGAAGGGTGTGAGAGACGAGATAATATCGAGGATTTTACGGCAGCCATGTTGCATGGCAGGAACAATGAAAATGTTTTGTATTAGAAAGCACATTTTTCCCGTAGGAAAAAGAATCTATTGTTCCTGCCAGGCAACATGCCGTGCAAAACCTCTATATAGACCTTACAGGAGGATATTTTACCTTTTTTCACCTTATTATAATGTCGTTAACTAACGGCCAGATCTAATTAACGGCCAGGTCTATCAGATTTCTCTTATATCTATTTCCATATACGTAATCTGCAAAGGGAACTACCCATAACCGCACATGCCCAGGCAAAAGAAAAACAAACAAACAAACAACAACAAAAAAAAGGATATAAATCTAATTAAATCACTATTAGTTATGATAAAAGAGAAACAAGACTGGTGCTAAACTCTTCAGCACTCCGTTGGTCTATTACTTCAGCGGGAAATGAGCTCCACTCACGTGTTCTTCCCGCATAAAAACTGAATTTGAAAGTATCGCTCGCGGGATTTAAATTTACGTGTTACATGTTCTTGGGGGGCTTAAATTTTGCCATTAAAGACAAAAGTGCGGAAGCGACCAAGAGCAGTTATGTTCTTGAAGTCACAAACCACTTATGATGGACAAGATAGGATGAGAAGTAAGAGAGTTAATCCCTCATAAAGGTCTTATTACCAAGACAAACACTATCAAGTTATTTTTGGATATCGTGCCCAGTTAACCGGGGATGATATTACCAGATGTGTAGTGTGGACGTTTTCGTACAGCGTGAAAATTCTTGTAAAGCCACTTACGCTGTCAATGTGACCAAAATACGCCATATACTGTAGAAGAGGCTCTTGGGATTCTTAAAATAACTTGAGTAAGCTTACCTTGCAATATGGGCTACAGTCTATAGGAGGGATCAATTATCATACTCCTCATCCTCTCTTTTGTTGGATAACGTTCGTCACGAATCTGGCGCAAATTCCAAAAGCAACACTTATCCTCGATATTTGCAGATCGAGATGCATATATACATTCTTATTTGCGCAGCTGCAGGATTATCACTGACCTGCCTACTGCAC